CCTCATATCGAAATATATTTTGAAATTTTTTCCCCAAAATTTCTGATAGTTTTATCTATATATCCCCCCGAATATCACCCACAATCATCTCTCATTTATTTAATTATCTTGTTTTCTACTAAAAAATAACTTAACCCATATTATTATTTTTTATTAATTTGATAAAATGAAAGAAATATTAAATTAATTTAATAATATGAAAGAAATATTAAATTAAATTTTAGACAAAAAACTTAAAAAATGCGCATTCTTTATTTTTAAAAAAAATGCACATTCTACGTATTTTGAATCGTCCACTTTTTGTCGTAGACTGGATAGGCTATGCTGAATCTGCGATTCTGAATCGGGCTTTAACGCATTTTTATAAAGTTTTCTGAAAAATCAGAGACTCAGAGAATTTTATCAATTTTTAAAATTCTTTTGAAATTGAAATAAAGATATAAATAGAGAATTTAATTTATTTCTTAATAAATATATTAATAAATAAATATTCTTAAAGTGCAATATTTCATTTAAAATAGTAATACCCCATTTTCTTAAGCTAAGGAAAATTGGCCATTTTAGCTTGTTTTATGTATTTCGGCTTATCATTTCTATTTTTGGATTATAATTTATTTATTTAATTAGCAATCTGGCTTAATATATTCGAAAAACTTAGTGACTGCCTTGTAGCACATGATAACCCTCATGTAAGGTGCAAAGATATTTTATAAAATATTTCGGTTTGGATGTTTATTTAAAGCCAATTTATTTGACATTTGATTCATTTTTAGTTTTTTAATTAATAAGTAATTTACCTCTATCCTTTTCTTTAAGTCTTTTAAAAGCAATCATAATTCTGGATTTCACTTGTAGATGAATACCAGCTATACTACAATCCAAAAAGTCTGACAGTGGGTTAGGAGAACATTTCAAATAAACTCTTTAGACAATAGATACTCTTAAATTTTTTTATTTTAAACATAAAACCGGTGGGTGTGCGCAACTGTAAAAAATGTTGCAAATTTCTAAATTTCATAACCTCATATTGGAATATATTTTGAAATTTTCTTCCCAAAATTTTTGATAGTCTAGCTATCATATTATCCCGAAGCTATATATCTCTCATTTATTTATCTTCCTTGTTTTCTACTAAAAAATAACTTGTTAGCCCATAGTTTAGCCCATATTGTTAAGAAGAATATATTGAAAGATTGATTTATTAAAATTTTAATTATAATAAATATTTTTAATTAATTTAATAATAAGATTGAAAAATTTAATTAAATTTTAGATAGAAATTGAAAACCGAGAAAATGCGCCTACTTGTTTTGGGCGCATTTACCTTGATTATTGCATTGGGAGAAGCAAAGGCACCTGAGCGATCATATCAGGGTTTGCCAGGAAATATAAACGTTTATTTGGAACCAAATGATGAGGGGTGCAAAAGAAAGCTTTACGATCCGAAATTTCAGTTACCGCTGCCTCGTCAATATACTGGAATCTACAAATGTAGGGTTTTTTTAAATCTTTTATACATATTTATTTTATAACTAATATTCTCTTATAAATAAATTAAAAATTAACTTTTATTCGTTTTTATGTATAATAATCGTTTTTACATGAATAATTTAAGCGGCAATCTATCCAAGAGCTACCGTTACTGATGAGGAATTTAATAGAGTCTTGGAAATTCAGAGTGGATTGTTAAAAGAAATTATGAGTGAGGAGGCCTATGAGGATTACAAAAAATTAGGTCCTGATAACCATATTGAAAAAATACATGCTGAAAAGCCACACTTAAAAGACTTGAAGAAAAAATCTAATGATCTAAAGGATGAAAAAAATAAAGCTAAAAATTTATTGAAAAATATAGATAAAGTGTCAAAACGAGAGGAAGTTTTAGAAATATTAAAAAAGGAAGGATATCCAATTTCGAAAGATGAAGATGTTGATAAAATTTTAAATGAATTGAAGGAAAAAGTGGCTTTAAAGTTGGATATGGATCCCGGTCAAGATGTTCCACGTGGTTGTATTATTATTAACGAAGATGGAGTTTGTAAAATTGATGTTTGTATGTTTTATAAATTTTATTTTTGAATATTAGAAAATTAAATTATTTTATTAAATTTAAAATTCCAATTCCAACTTCTTGAAATAATCAACTATTTATGAGATTAATTCGCGTGAAGGTAAATATAGGAGGGATTGTGTAAAAATAGATTAACTTCACTTTTGCAAATAATACCATTCTTATTTGCTATAGTGACGGGTCTTATGTTTATATTTTAGTCCTAAAAATAATTCTTAATAAACTTTGAGCAATTAATCAACAAACTAAACTACCCATCTGTAAATATCTAATAATAAGTTAATTTTTAGCTGGATTCTATAGACCATACAAACCAAATGTGGTTGTAGGTCTGCATTTGAAAAGGGGACATTTGCCAGCAAGCAGTTGGATTAAACCTGATCACGAGGATGTTAAATTATATAGTGGATTATGGCACACTGATAGTGAAAAGGATTTGATTATTCATCATGATTATGACAAAAATGAGAAGCGAATACTTGATCGTTGTTCTTTTTATGGGTTTGAACCTTCTTATTTTTATAAAATCAGCTGAAACTAGAAACCAGGATACTACAAAACTCTGAAACCATAGTCCACTTCTTAAACCCCCTACGAATAGGTTTGGAGATGGACTAGCATTATCGTGGAAAGACAAAGGCCCAGATAATTTATAATTTTCATTCTTGTATAATGATATCAAGATATCAATCAAGACACAAAATTAAATAATAAAAATTTATAAATAATTATTAGAAAATACGAGTTGGATGAAAATGGCTATCCAATCAACCCAATTACACGTACTGGTTTTATTACACGTGGAGAATTGTATCAATGGGGACCAAGTAAAGGAGTCGGAGCAATTTTATACTCAAAAAGCATAAATGATGAATTTTCATTTCTCGGCGTTATGAATGGAAAGTATGAGAGACCTGAAGGTATACTACTATATATTTTTCATCAAAAGTAAGGGTTTAAAAAATTAAACTCAACCCAGTCGAAGTATGGATTAAAAGACTATCACTTATAGATAGAAGAATCACTACTCCAGGAGGGTATGTTGATCCAAATGAAGAATTTGAAGATGCAGCAAAGAGAGAATTAATTGAAGAAGGCCTAGCAAATAAAAAGGTAGGAAAAGAAGAAAAAGCTGAGTTCGAAAATAAACTCAAAACTCTCATGGGTGAAGGAGAATTGGTGATATTTGGCTATAATGATTCGAAAGAGGTGATAGAATTTTAAACTATTTGATTCGGTAATTAAATATTTTACAGACAAACACGGACAATGCATGGACAGAATCTGTAACCTACGCTTTTGGAATTGACCACAAAAATTTAAATGAATTTGAAGCAGATCATGGAAGTGATGCAATTAAAGCAATGTGGATGACGATTAAAGTTAATGAAGATTCTTCTGAAGTAAAGTCACTAAAGGAAAAAGTAATTAAAGAGGAGGTAAAAGTAGGAAAGGAAGAAAAAACGGATGAAATGGAAGTAGATTTTCCAGCTGAGCATATTACATTTGGAGATGTCGAAGACTTTAAATTAAAAAAAGAAAGAGAGTTTAAAGTTAAAAATCTTCTTGATAAGAAAATAAGAAACATGTTCAGTATAGAGGAAAAGATTGATTTTGTTCTTAAAACTTTCAAGGTTGTTACTTTTTAACAACACTTGATCTTTTATCTTAAATATACATAAGGCAATTTTATTGCAACAATTACTAAACTTAATTAAAGTGACCGATCTTCAATTTGGACCTTTCCTTAAATAAATTACTATTTTAGGCTTGCCGGACTGAATATGTAGATGAAGACAAATCAGAAAAAAATGAAGAAATCGCCGACAAAGGAACTGGAGAATCCAGTTCCAGTAAAGCAGAATCAACAAAGAAGGTTCCGATTGAAATTTGTTTAAATTTGAATGATAAAAAAACGATGAACATGGAAGGGGTTGCTCGTTTATTCCTCGTTAAACTTTACGGTGAAATGCCTTATTTGGAATTTCTCGAGAAACAGAAGTCGAATCAGGGAACATATGTAGTCAAAAGTGGAAAAGTACACACTTCAGTTACTGGTAGTAAGTTTATTTATTAGATAAAATTATTTGAAAATGATAGAAAAACGCCTTTATGATCAAGGGAGCGGTAGTCAAACAGAGAGCGGGACTCATCATGAACATAAAAAAGAAATAAAGAGTCCACGAACAAGTTTAAGCCCAAGCAAAAAGCGAGATGGAAGTCCAACTAAAGGTCATTGAAAATGAGTTGTTTAAAGAGCAAGTAAAAGACTATGTGCAAGAAAGTAAAAACTAGAGCATATTGCTCTATATTTCTTCTGTCCACTTTTGCATAAATTTAGATGTAGTATGACCAGATGCTCACTAAAACTCTTGTTTATATTGAGTTGATATTTAGTCAAAAATATTATTTGGAATCCTTCAAATTATCACATATGTTTGAAAATTTTCGGAAATTTTTTAAAATAAACAAGAAACTAGAAGAGCCGGTCATTAGAATCCTTTATTAGTTATGTACATATTATCCTTTATGTAAATATTTATTTTTCATTATTCTTTTCCTGACAAACATTGTGATTTTTAAAGATTATTTTAGTATGTATAAAACATTTAGCAATTTTTTGGTTATTTCTAAATTTAAAGTCAAACTATAAAAAAGAACATAATAGGGAATTAGGGAACGATTGTAGATAAAAACGTAAATCTAATAGCGTAACTTGTAAAATTATATTTAAATTATTTTCAAACAAAAAATTATTTTCATGTCAAAGAAGATATAAATTTTAACAAGGAGAGTAAGAGAATCTTCTAGCCAATTTAAATGCCCGACCCTATTTAATTTTTAAATTGAATTCTTGGAATTTTTACATATTGCTTAAATAAAAAAATTTTCGTTACTGTTCTGTAGAATATTTGATTGAAGCATAATAATTGGATAAACTATGAATTGGATATTCTGGATGACAAATTCAGTCATAAACTTGTTTAAAACAAAAAATCGGGGGTCAATCGAAAACCGATAAACGGGGGTCGTAAACCGGCTAAAACCGAAAACCGAGAGTGCCGGTTAATAACGGGTCGCAAAAACTCTAGTCCAAATATTAAAGTTTAATCTAATCAACTTTTCGCAAAAAAATTTTAAATTTATATAAAAATGTATTAAATAATTCAAAATCTCAAGAAAGAGATAAACAATATGTAAATTATTCTTAATTTTTTGTTGATTAATTAGCAAAATTTTTAAAATATTTGTTTTGTTTGTTTTGAATAAATGTCATACTGTCACATTTTTTGCATAAGCAAGGAGGTGTTGGTGCTTCTTCAGGTTTTTTCTCCAACAAATTATTATTGTTTTTTGATAGTGAAGAGGCAGAAGAACTTGGGGTTATAAATTATGTTTAATTTTAAATTGTGATTATTTTTGTAATACTAATATTGTCTATGACTAAGTTTTATACACCTAGTTGAATATTGGCTTGTGTCACTTAGGATATTGATCAAGGTTGGACACTTCCGGTTATTAACCGGTACACGCGGATTTCGGTTTCAGTTCGGTTAACCATTTGTGTCCAACCATATTATTGATGTTAGTTATACAAAGATTCACGCCCCCATGTTATGTTTTTACTAGGAGTTCTACTTATTGAGCTATATGTGCTTCTAGAATGTTCAAATTATTCAGGAATGACTGGCTGTTAATATATTATACATAAATCTTTGATTTCTACTTAATTATATTTTGTAAAATATATTTGCAAAATTTACCCAAAAATGTTTTCGAATTGGCTCATCACAAATTGTGCCAAATTTCTCATAAAATTAGCACTGTCTTTGACCATTTGCTCTTCAAATTCACGCATTTCTTGAAGATATTCCTCAATTTGTTGTTGTTCCTCAGATGTAGGTGTACGTTCGTCACCATTATCGTTAATTACACCATCTAAATTAATTTTATTATTTACTTAAATAATTTATATTTTATGTTGAATTATTTTAGTTTGAATAAAAATTTTAAGAATTTCTGGGAATTTCTATCTTGCTAAGAATGGCTAATGATAATGTAAGTCAGATAAGTTCCTTCCTTTTAAAAATGATAACCACAGGTGCGATGGTAGACATGATAAACAAGCAAGCTTCGAAAAGCTTTCAGATCCGAATATTAAGAGCGAGCGTAATTTTCGTGAAGAAATCGAACCTCATACACGCATGCTTGACCATCACTTTCATTTCTATCATTATCATCTACATCATTAGCATATTTTCTAGTTGTATTAATATCCAATCCATTTACATCATTATCTTCCTCAGGAAATTTATTGTCTACACCATATCCTTCATTATTTAGTTGGTTTTCCTCATCTTCTTTAATTTTTTCTGTTGTGTATTCATTAATGGAATTATCTTCTTCGTTATTTAACAGTGCATTTGTATCATCTTCTTTAATAAATTGCGGGTCTTGAAGATTTTGATTGTCGATTGAATTGGAAGGTTGTTGCTCCTGTCAAATTTATTATTTAGATAAAGACTTGTACATTATTTTTCTAATTACGCCAAAATTTCTAGCCGAACGGCCGTATCCATTAAAGTGATCATAGAGAGGAGATCAAGGTTTCTTTGCATTTTATGAGATGTAATGTAAATAATTATATGTAGGTAGCAAATTTTAGATTAAAAAAATAGAAACCACTAGATCATGATTAAAATGAATTACTCAAAAACAATAATTTGGCTAGAATTGGGATTTTACTATTATTTTTATTATAAAAAAATTTTGAGATTTAACTTTGAGCGTTATTGAATTCCTTGAATATTTTATAAAATAATTTTGTTCTGTTAAATAATTAATTAATTAATTTTACTTCTCGAACATCAACAGTGTCGGAAAACTCATCATTGATCGTACCATCAGAATTTCCATTGTTCTCTCCGCTATTAGAATCTTCAGCAATAATTTTGTTTATTATTAAAAGAAAAATTAAAATTTTTAAAAACATTTTTTAATTAAGAAACTTGGGGTCTTTTTAATTTTAAATGTCAATTGAAGCATTATTTAAGCGTTTTTATTTTCAAATTAAGTAAGTGATAAATTAAAGTTTATTTAGATTTTGGCCTTTTTTCTATTTTGAAATTCAAAAATGACTGAATAAAAAAATTCTGTTTACTTCAAAATTTAATTTTTTAAATTCATCCTTCCATCTATAGCCTTATTTTTAAGCATTATTGGGAAATTTTCAGATGATATTTTGAATGACTAATAAAAATTATTGAAGGGAGATGATTTGAAAAGCTGAACAAATAAAACTAATAAAAATTCAAAGTGCAGATTTATTGGGAAATAATTATTGACTAAAAAATTTTAAATTAAAATAATTATTTTTAAATAATTAATTCGTGATTTATTCTTTATTTTTTTCTATTTTAAATTTAATTTTAAATTCTAAAATTTCAAATCAAAAACCAAAAAGATGAAGATCTGAAAACTATATTTATGCCCTAAATATATACACGGTGACCAAAAAGTCACGGGGCACTTTTCTATCCTTTATAACTTTTTTTGTTCATAACATTTTTAGATAATTCTAAGTTATTTATATATTATATAACTATATAATATATAGTTATTTAATATATAATATATAGTTATAACTATATATTATAACTATATATTAATATATAGTTATAACTATATAATATATAGTTATAACTATATAATATATAGTTATAACTATATAATATATAGTTATTTATATATTATATATCTAAGTTATTTATATATTATATTATTTATATATTTTATTTTATACCTTATATATTATTAAAAAGATCGTGTGATCAAATCGCACAATATATTACAGAAATCTTTAAACTAATATTAGATAGTAAAAATATACCCGACATTTGGAAAACATCAATTATAGTACCTATACATAAAAAAGGAATAACAACAGATCCAGAAAATTATAGGTCCAGAAAATTACAGATCCAGAAAAAAAAATTACTTCTATAAACGCTATATCACTCATCTTATCCCATCAATGAATTCTTTTGAAAACTCCATAATAGAAATTAATCGTATAGAACTTCTATAAACGCTATATCACTCATCTTATCCCATCAATGAATTCTTTTGAAAACTCCATAATAGAAATTAATCGTATAGAACTTCTATAAACGCTATATCACTCAACTTATCCCATCAATGAATTCTTTTGAAAACTCCATAATAGAAATTAATCGTATAGAACTTCTATAAACGCTAAATCACTCATCTTATCCCATTAATGAATTCTTTTGAAAACTCCATAATAGAAATTAATCGTATAGAACTTCTATAAAAGCTATATCACTCATCTTATCCCATCAATGAATTCTTTTAAAAACTCCATAATAAAAATTAATCGTATAGAACTTCTATAAACACTATATCACTCATCTTATCCCATCAATGAATTCTTTTGAAAACTCCATAATAGAAATTAATCGTATAGAACTTCTATAAACGCTATATCACTCATCTTATCCCATCAATGAATTCTTTTGAAAACTCCATAATAGAAATTAATCGTATAGAACTTCTATAAACGCTATATCACTCATCTTATCCCATTAATGAATTCTTTTGAAAACTCCATAATAGAAATTAATCGTATAGAACTTCTATAAAAGCTATATCACTCATCTTATCCCATCAATGAATTCTTTTAAAAACTCCATAATAAAAATTAATCGTATAGAACTTCTATAAACGCTATATCACTCATCTTATCCCATCAATGAATTCTTTTGAAAACTCCATAATAGAAATTAATCGTATAGAACTTCTATAAACGCTATATCACTAATCTTATCCCATCAATGAATTCTTTTGAAAACTCCATAATAGAAATTAATCGTATAGAACTTCTATAAACGCTATATCACTCATCTTATCCCATCAATGAATTCTTTTGAAAACTCCATAATAGAAATTAATCGTATAGAACTTCTATAAAAATCTTATCACTCATCTTATCCCATCAATGAATTCTTTTGAAAACTCCATAATAGAAATTAATCGTATAGAACTTCTATAAACGCTATATCACTCATCTTATCCCATCAATGAATTCTTTTGAAAACTCCATAATAGTAATTAATCGTATAGAACTTCTATAAACGCTATATCACTCATCTTATCCCATCAATGAATTCTTTTGAAAACTCCATAATAGAAATTAATCGTATAGAACTTCTATAAACGCTATATCACTCATCTTATCCCATCAATGAATTCTTTTGAAAACTCCATAATAGAAATTAATCGTATAGAACTTCTATAAACGCTATATCACTCATCTTATCCCATTAATGAATTCTTTTGAAAACTCCATAATAGAAATTAATCGTATAGAACTTCTATAAAAGCTATATCACTCATCTTATCCCATCAATGAATTCTTTTAAAAACTCCATAATAAAAATTAATCGTATAGAACTTCTATAAACGCTATATCACTAATCTTATCCCATCAATGAATTCTTTTGAAAACTCCATAATAGAAATTAATCGTATAGAACTTCTATAAACGCTATATCACTCATCTTATCCCATCAATGAATTCTTTTGAAAACTCCATAATAGAAATTAATCGTATAGAACTTCTATAAACACTATATCACTCATCTTATCCCATCAATGAATTCTTTTGAAAACTCCATAATAGAAATTAATCGTATAGAACTTCTATAAACGCTATATCACTCATCTTATCCCATCAATGAATTCTTTTGAAAACTCCATAATAGAAATTAATCGTATAGAACTTCTATAAACGCTATATCACTCATCTTATCCCATCAGTGAATTTTTTTGAAAACTCCATAATAGAAATTAATCGTATAGAACTTCTATAAACGCTATATCACTCATCTTATCCCATCAATGAATTCTTTTGAAAACTCCATAATAGAAATTAATCGTATAGAACTTCTATAAACGCTATATCACTCATCTTATCCCATCAATGAATTCTTTTGAAAACTCCATAATAGAAATTAATCGTATAGAACTTCTATAAACGCTATATCACTCATCTTATCCCATTAATGAATTCTTTTGAAAACTCCATAATAGAAATTAATCGTATAGAACTTCTATAAAAGCTATATCACTCATCTTATCCCATCAATGAATTCTTTTAAAAACTCCATAATAAAAATTAATCGTATAGAACTTCTATAAACACTATATCACTCATCTTATCCCATCGATGAATTCTTTTGAAAACTCCATAATAGAAATTAATCGTATAGAACTTCTATAAACGCTATATCACTAATCTTATCCCATCAATGAATTCTTTTGAAAACTCCATAATAGAAATTAATCGTATAGAACTTCTATAAACGCTATATCACTCATCTTATCCCATCAATGAATTCTTTTGAAAACTCCATAATAGAAATTAATCGTATAGAACTTCTATAAAAATCTTATCACTCATCTTATCCCATCAATGAATTCTTTTGAAAACTCCATAATAGAAATTAATCGTATAGAACTTCTATAAACGCTATATCACTCATCTTATCCCATCAATGAATTCTTTTGAAAACTCCATAATAGTAATTAATCGTATAGAACTTCTATAAACGCTATATCACTCATCTTATCCCATCAATGAATTCTTTTGAAAACTCCATAATAGAAATTAATCGTATAGAACTTCTATAAACGCTATATCACTCATCTTATCCCATCAATGAATTCTTTTGAAAACTCCATAATAGAAATTAATCGTATAGAACTTCTATAAACGCTATATCACTCATCTTATCCCATTAATGAATTCTTTTGAAAACTCCATAATAGAAATTAATCGTATAGAACTTCTATAAAAGCTATATCACTCATCTTATCCCATCAATGAATTCTTTTAAAAACTCCATAATAAAAATTAATCGTATAGAACTTCTATAAACGCTATATCACTAATCTTATCCCATCAATGAATTCTTTTGAAAACTCCATAATAGAAATTAATCGTATAGAACTTCTATAAACGCTATATCACTCATCTTATCCCATCAATGAATTCTTTTGAAAACTCCATAATAGAAATTAATCGTATAGAACTTCTATAAACACTATATCACTCATCTTATCCCATCAATGAATTCTTTTGAAAACTCCATAATAGAAATTAATCGTATAGAACTTCTATAAACGCTATATCACTCATCTTATCCCATCAATGAATTCTTTTGAAAACTCCATAATAGAAATTAATCGTATAGAACTTCTATAAACGCTATATCACTCATCTTATCCCATCAGTGAATTTTTTTGAAAACTCCATAATAGAAATTAATCGTATAGAACTTCTATAAACGCTATATCACTCATCTTATCCCATCAATGAATTCTTTTGAAAACTCCATAATAGAAATTAATCGTATAGAACTTCTATAAACGCTATATCACTCATCTTATCCCATCAATGAATTCTTTTGAAAACTCCATAATAGAAATTAATCGTATAGAACTTCTATAAACGCTATATCACTCATCTTATCCCATTAATGAATTCTTTTGAAAACTCCATAATAGAAATTAATCGTATAGAACTTCTATAAAAGCTATATCACTCATCTTATCCCATCAATGAATTCTTTTAAAAACTCCATAATAAAAATTAATCGTATAGAACTTCTATAAACACTATATCACTCATCTTATCCCATCGATGAATTATTTTGAAAACTCCATAATAGAAATTAATCGTATAGAACTTCTATAAACGCTATATCACTCATTTTATCCCATCAATGAATTCTTTTGAAAACTCCATAATAGAAATTAATCGTATAGAACTTCTATAAACGCTATATCACTCATCTTATCCCATTCAATGAATTCTTTTGAAAACTCCATAATAGAAATTAATCGTATAGAACTTCTATAAACGCTATATCACTCATCTTATCCCATCAATGAATTCTTTTGAAAACTCCA